AAGTTAGACTTAGGGTTAGGGTTTGTGTTAGACTTAGGGTTATGGTTAGGTTTAGGGTTCGGGCTAGGGCAGGGGGAGGCTGACAGGGAGGGGGGAACCTGGCCTAGAGGGAGAAAAGCCTCAGAAGCTGATTCAGGGAGGACAAGGGGTTTGGGTGTGGGTTTAGGTGTCGATGACAGATTTTAGAAAGGAAGATTTGGGTTTGGGGTGCAGATGCCATCCAGGTTTTCAACCACAGAGGAGATTCTACCAAGGCAAGCCATTGATCAATATATGGGAACTGATCAGGATGGCCTGGGTCTCCAGTGACCACAGCCCAGACCTCAGTAACTGTGGAGGGGCCAAAGTTCCCTCCAGGGACCACCTAACCTTGAAGGTGGGCCACTCAAGCTCGCAGAGGGTATGTAGTTGTCCAGAGGAGAACTTGACCCCATAATCAGTAGTGACAGCTTTGGAGAAGTTTGTAATGAGACAATGAGGGGGAGGTTGGGGCCAGGAAGAGGTGGTACCTATTATTGGAATAAAAGAAAGAAGCACAGGAGATAAGAGTTTTGCTGGAAGAGACTCCACGGGAAGGAGAGGAATTCATGACCTGACCCCCAAAGGAACTTGGGTACTGCTTAATTTTTTTTTTTTTAACAAGAGACACAGTAGAGATCTAAATCTAGCCTGGAAGATGGGCACACGTATTGGAGGAGAGCACAATTGGAGGAAACTCTGTGCCGACAACTCACTTTTGAGTTGAGCGTCTTGAAAAAGTATTCCTTTGAGACAAAAGGGGGAACTAGCAAGACGACTCTCTCGGCAGCATTAGGAGGGACCTGCTGCCATTTCCATGGAGCCCCAAGAGGAGTGGGTAGAGTTAGAGGAGAAAAAGGAGACCGAAGGTATAAAAGTCCACTTTGTCAGCAGGGGATTCGGAGAAGGTCCCCAGAGTAGAGAAGAAAAGGTCTGGAGAGAAGCAAGATGGGCCAGTGGATACCATTAAGTGACAGTGACTATAGTGTAGGAGGCACTGGATCAATGAGCACGTAACAGAGACTTAACAAGAGTTTGGGGTGAGAGACCAATTATCAGGGGCCGTAGCTATGCAGCCAATTGTTAAGCATCAAGTTAAGTGTTGTGTTAGTGTTCTCTAGAGAGACAAAACCAGATTGCTAATAATTATATATATATATTTATACAGATCAATAAAAATATAACACAAGAAGTAAACAGTTAAATTATAAAGCAGTACAAATGTCTCAGTACAACTCACTCCCCTGAGACAGTTATGAGACACTGGCAGTCCTTCAAGTCTTGAAGGCTGCCAGGTAGTCCTCTGTAGAGCAATTCAGGCTATCTGGACACAGGCAGCAAACAGCAAGGCAGGTCACCAACAGTCAGTCAGATGACAGGGTCTGACAGTCCCCAGCTCAAGAGATTAAATTCCAATGGTGTGGCGAAGCAGTCTTGAAGGAATCTCAAATTACAGCGACACAGTCCATGGGTTAGGTGTCCCACAGGTAGTGTAGCTTGCAAATTGAGGCACAGAACAAGCAAAGCAGCCGCACAATGGTCCGATGATCAAAAAGCAAGAGATAAGAAAGGCGAAGCTCGCCGAGCCATTTATCTCTCCGCCCTTCAAAAACTCCCATGTATGCTTATCGGCCAGGTTGGCACAATAAACTAACTACCTTAAGGGTCCATAGAAAAGGCGATGTAAGAGGAGGCAGCTGGCCCAAAGTCCTAACATAGGGAAACCCCTCCCAGAACAGCGCTTGACAGGCAAAGGAGGGGAGCTGCCAAAAACAGACCAGCCAGGTGACCCCAATCAAGGGCCACTTTCCAAAGAAAGGGAGTCACCTGTCGGTCGTACGTCACTGGGGAAGGAGGTGAGGCAGACTGCGCACAGGCAGTTCACAGAGGACTGTGTCCAGCTACATACACACACCTCGCTCACTGGTCTCGAGTTTAAACCGGTTCCACCCACCGAGGCTGCCAGGTGACGGCTCACCTCTTTGAATCACTGTCAGGAGGTTTTCTGGTCAGAGACGATCCCTCCTCTGGAACCGAGGGCCTGTGGTACTTACCAGTTAGGCTACGGGACACGTGATGGCTCGACGCAGGTCGTCCGAGGTGAGAACTTGGAACTTGGGAGGTTTGTACACTATGGACTAAATGAGGCAGATGGGACAGGTGGCGTCACCCTATGTGGAGGAAAAGGGAACTTGCATACACAGGCAGGTGGTGTTATGATAATGGGAAATATGGGGCCTTACAAAACTAGAGCAGGGGGGTTAGACACCTCATCAGCAATTTCAAGACTCAGTAGCAACGGGCTCAGCAATTACAGAAAGCAGAAGTTACCAGAAGAGTTACATTAGTTGCAAAATGGCTATACTTAGATCAGTACAAAATGGCTACACTCAGGCTAATTAATAAAGTATGGTTACATTGTTAAAACGGCTACATCTAAATTGTCTACTACATCATGGTCACACTGGAGCTAATTGTGGTGGGTTACTACACCGGTGTCCAATAACCACGGACTAAAAGCTACCTACGGCTCTGAGGAAAGACCAGACAATATACTTCTGCAGAGCTCCCAGCCTAGAGAACCCTACCTGGTCACCTGCACGGCACGTAAAATCCAGAGTGTATGGCATTCAACACCATTCCCACCTACTTCATGCTTTCTCAGAACTATTTTGGCTTTTACTTGCCCTATGGATTTTAGAAATAATAATCATTACCATCTTACTGGGAATTGGATAGGTGTTAAAGCTATAGATCACTTGGGGAAATGTGATATTTTTACTATGTTGAGACTTCCAATCCACAAATGTGGCATGTCTGTTCGTTTATTTAGATCGTTATTATCATTCGTTAGTATCTCAAAATGTTTAGCATATAAATTCCGTACAGAACTTGTGAGATTTCTATGTACGTATTGCGCGTCTTGTATGGGGCAGTGAAAAAGGAAGAGCATCGCCAAGGCGGACGGACACAGTAGCTGCATCAATAGCTCCAATGTAACAACTGTGAGTCCGGCACAGGACCAGGCAGGGTGTCCTTCTGTTGCACATCGGGTTGCTGTGAGTCAGAACCGAGTCAATGGCACCTAACAAAAACAATTGCACATGTCTGGAGTGATTGTAAGCAGGATACGTTGTTAATGAACAGTGTCCATGTTTGTTTTTAGTATATAGGAATGCCATTCATTTTTGTATGTTGATTTTGTATCTTGTAGGTTTTCTGAACTCACTGATGAGGCTTAGAGGTTTTTATTGTATAATTCTTGCGATCTCTTAAGAACTCACACGTCCTGCCTTGAGCAGGGGAAGGGGAAGTTACAGGCAACGCCTGAGGTTATAGTCACTCAGTTTTCGGGGAGGGGTGTAGTGGTGCGCTAAATAGTGTAACTGAAGCATACAATAATGTCTAAAGCCTGGGTAACCAGTAAGGCTTTCTTTAGGAAATTAGAGCTTCCAAAAGCAGGCCCTCCCTCACATATTTATACAGTAATTTTCATTCAAGCACTATTCACAATTATCCAAAGGTAAATACAACCTGAGTGCCCATCAAGATGAATGGATAATAAAAATGTATATGCATACATGTATGTGCATACATACAAAGAGAAATGATACATGCTATCACATGAAGCGTTTTGGAAACATTATACAGAGTAAATCAATCACACATAAAAGGACAAATATTGCTTGTTTCCATTTTTAATGAAATATCTAGAATAAACAAATGCAGAACTACAGTGTATTAGTGGTTACAACAGGTGCGTGGGAGGGATAAAAGAGTAAGTATTACCTAAGGGTCACTGAGTTTCTGCTAAGAGTGATGGAAAATTCAGCAACAATGTAATGTCACTGAATTATGACATTGTAAAAATGGTTCAGTTAAGGGCTCAAATAGAACGAAAATGTTTTGAAAATGATTATGGCAACAAACATACAAATGTGCTTGATACAATCGATGTATGGATTGTGATCAAAGCTGTATGAGCCCACAATACAATGATTTTTTTAAAAAATGGTTGTGTTCCACATAGCCACATTTATGTAAAGAAGCAAACAATATGGACATTTCGCTAAAATAGATACATAAATCCAAAGCCCAATGTCATACAGTTGATTATGAATCATAGTAAGGATATCCTATACAGGGTTTATGAAGCTGTAAATCTTGACAAGAGCAGACAGCCGATCTTTCTCCTTGAGTGCAGCTGGTAGGTTTGAACCACAGACTCTGCAGTTAGCAGCCCAATGCTTATCCCACAGCACCACCAGGGCTCCCTCATAGAAACACAGGGTAGCAAATAAACATTAAAAATATTACAAATGATGAGTCATTAGAATGGCAAACTTTATAAATTCTGACCATGTTAATTGTTGGAAAATATGTGGAAGAAGTGAAACTTATTCACGCCTAGGTGGACATAAATGGTATAGTCACTTTAAAACACCTGCTATTTCTTATAAAAATTAAACAGTCATCTACAAAGTGTGTGTTAGACAGGGTTCTCTAGAGAGATAAAACCAAATTCCTGATAAAATAATATATTTATTTATAAAGATAATTAGATCTATAACGAGAAATGAACTGTTAAGTCATATACTGATAAATATACAATACAAGAAATAAACAGTTAAATTAGAAAGCACTATAAATGGCTTAGTGCAACTCACGTCCGTGAGAGAAAGTTGAGAGACTAGCAGTCCTTCAAGTCTCTGTCTGATGCCAGATCTTCCTCTATTTGTAGAGAGAGCTAGGCTATGTCAGCACAGCAGCCAATCACAAGGCAGGTCACCAACCGCCAGTCCCCAGCTCCAGAGAAGTCTTAAAGGGACCTCAACTTACAGCAACACAGTCCACAGGCTAGGCGTCCCACAGGCAGTGTAGCCTTTAAATTGAGGCACAGAACAAGCAAGGCAGCCGCACACTGGTCCGATGATCACAGAGCGAGAGACAAGAAAGGCAAGGCTCACCAAGCCATCCATCTCTCCGCCCCTGAGTCAATCCCACCTGCGTTTATCAGCTAGGCTGGCACAATAAACTATCTCAAAGTGTGAAGGCATTGCATGCCTAGAAATTAACATGAGAAATGTGCCCATATAAAGGTGTGTACATTTATAGCCATAATAATTATAATCGGCCCAAACTCATCAATTAATAGATTTTTTAAAATTAGGGTGCATTTATTCAAGAATACTAGTCAGAAATAAAATGAAAGATTAATTGTGTAGGGGGGCTTCAAAAAGTTCATGAAAAAATAAAAGATAATGGAAATTTCCCACCATTTTTTTTTCAATCTGCTGGTACACATAGCAAGAATGAACCTCAAGATTAAGACACCACCTGTGGATACATCCCTCTAGTTTACTCTAGTCTCATGTACTCTATCATACCCAATGTCTTTGTAAAAGTTAGTTTCCACCTGGGCTCAATAGGACTTACACATACATAACCGATGTTAGATTTAAGAGTACATCTCCTTGGCAATTAATTGCCAGTTAAGTAGCTTTGCCTCACCTATGCAGGGTCACGTGGCGCATGCCCTTGGAACAAAGAACCCAATTCATGCTCCTCTAAGATGCACTGGAGACTGTTCTAAAAACTTCCTCAGGTGATCTCTGGGCTTACAAAAGTCATGGCATTCCGATCACACCATTTAGCTGACAGATTTTCTAGGGGGTCTAGGTTAGTAATACCAAGGAGACCACATCTGAACAGAGTTGTTCTCTGCCATCCCCTCTTGTGGCACTAAAATCGGATGTCCTTGTAGCTTGTTAAACTTTGATTCTGTTCTCTAGGCCTCTCTAGATGCACTCCCTACCCCAACATACACAAAAGATAAGTAGTGGCTTTAACAATAAGGTTAACAATAAGGTCTTTATAATTACACAAATCGGAACAATGTGAAACAGTTGTTGTTGTGTTGGGTAACTTGAAAGTTGAATAATTCCATCACAAGAATTACATACCCAACAATGCCCTGGATAAAGGGAAAATTTCTCTGTAAGCCAACAAACATAAGACCCAGCTCATGTCTTTGCAGCAAAATATGGGTCATATTCACAGCTAAACCAGGCACAGTGGGAAGGAATAATGCCCTTCCATGACCACAAGCTACTCATAATTCCATCCAGTGATTGAAAGGAGAGAATGGAAGTCTGCCTTCCGTGAGCACAGTGAAATAGCTGACAAACTCTGAAAGACTGGAAGTACATAAAACTGTGATGGCTTCTGCCACAAACACTGGCAATGATACAACTCTGCTCATAGTTCATGGTCAGTAAATTCAATTTAGCTCTAGATTTTTGTCAGAGCTAGCAATAATAAGGATGCTCCACAATGTGGCTACATCAATGAACTTCTAGCAGATGCGTCCCTCATGAGGACCATTTTCTGAGCTCATCTCTGCGTGCGTCACTATGTTCAACAAGGAAGAAACATATCCGTGCACTGATAAGGCCTTTCTCCAATGTAATGTTCCAGAGCCAAATAAGGTCAGGCAAAGATTTTCCCATATCTGCACTAATGAGGTCTATCTGATTTGTGAATTTTCTGGTGCTGAATCAGATTAGACCTTTGGCTGAAGGCTTTCCCACATTCCATACACTCATAAGGCCGCTCTCCACTGTGAACTCTCTGATGTTTTATGAGGTCAGAGCTTTGGCTGAAGGCTTTCCCACATTCACTGCACTCGTAAGGCCGCTCACCAGTGTGAAGTCTCCGATGGTTACTGAGGCTGGAGCTTTGGCTGAAGAATCTCCCACATTCACCACATGCATAAGGCTGTTCGCCTGTGTGAACCCTCCGATGTTTAATGAGGCTGGAGATGTGGCTGAACAATTTCCCACAGTCATTGCACTTGTAAGGCCTTTCTCCGGTGTGAACTCTTCGATGCTTAATTAGGTTGGAGTTGTAGCCAAAGACTTTCCCACACACACTGCACTCATGAGGGCTTTCACCAGTGTGAACCCTCCGGTGTTTAATTAAGTTGGAGCTTTGGCTAAAGAATTTCCCACATTCATGGCACTCATAAGGTTTTTCTCCAGTGTGAACCCTCCGATGTTGAATGAGGTTAGAGCTTTGGCTAAAGAATTTCCCACATTTGTCACACTCATAAGGCATTTCTCCAGTGTGAACTCTCCGGTGCTTAATGAGACTGGAGATGTGCCTAAAGAATTTCCCACACTCATGGCACTCATAAGGCTTTTCTCCAGTGTGAACTCTCTGGTGTTGAAAGAGGCTTGAGTATTGGCTAAATTGTTTCCCGCATTCACTGCACTCACATGGTCTCTCTCCAATGTGGGTTTTCTGGTGCTGAACAAATCTGGTTTTGCGGTGGAAGGTCTTCCCACATTCTTGGCACTCATAGGCTCTTTGCTCAGTGTGAACTCTTTGATGTATATTGAGGGTGGAGGTCTGTCTAAAGAATTCCCCACATATATCACATTCCTTAGTCCTTTCTCCAGTATGGATTCTCCGGTGCTGAACTATTGTCAATTTGTCATCGAAAGTTTTCCCACATTCACTGATCTGATCATTCCTTTGCATACTGTGAACACCCACCACATCTTCTGTAGTCCTATGTGGTTCTCCAGCACTGTGACTGGCCTGATGCTGGAGAAAGCCTGATCTGACCATGAAGTCCTCCCCATCCTCCCTACATGTGGAAGGGTTCTCTGAGCTATGAGCTCTGCAGTTCTTCACAAAGGAGGCCTTACCCTCATCCCTTCTGTTGGGCCTCTCTATATTCTGCTGCATCTGATGCTGGTAAAGATTTTCACAAAACCCAAATCCTTTCCCAAATGCCCCCAACACGTGTGGTTCCTGCCTGGGGTGTGTTGCCTGGTGTTCATTCAGGTGCAAAATGTCTTTCAAGAGTAGGCTACCTGTGTCACACAGGTAGTACTTTGAGATGGATGGACCTGCTTTGGGGTTCCTGTCCTGTGATACACCTTCTGCAAAAACACTATGCTCACGAGGTGACTCAGGGTCTTCCATTCCATGCCAAAAATCTGAAAATAGAAATAATGATGAAGTTCATTTAACTTTGATGAAAAGAAAGACTGTTGCTATTGAGTCATTGCAACTCACAGGGTTTCAAGGCGATAATCTTTATGGAAGTAAACGGCCATATCTTTCTTCCATAAAGCAGATGGTGGGTTTCAAACACTGACCTCTTGGTTAAAAGCTGACTGCTCAACCACTGAACTACCAGGGCTCCTTGGAAAGAAGTTGCCCCAGCACAAATGTATGTCTGACCCAAGAAGGAGCCAGAAATCAGAGTAAGCAAGGGTCTGCTTGGGAGGACTATGCCTGACAAGGTCAAAATTGAAGAAAACTTTTCAGGGCCAAGTGCACCCGGACTGAGGACAGTATAGGGTGGGGAATCAGGGTCTCAAACCTACTTCTTTGTAAAGGCCTATCAGCAGGGAACTACTCAAGAGGGCTGTGCAGATGGGTATGTCTAGGTCTAGGAATAATCCAAGTGCAACTAAATGGCTGGCATTGAAGGAAATGTGCACACCTCATGATTTATTAAGTAGTAAACTATGTTGGGAGGCTGAGAGGGGACTATGGAGTGAATGAGACATAGAAGCCAGGGCCCAAAGACAAACTAGAAATGACAAGTGAACAAAGTATCAAGAATGGGCAAGGAAAGGTAGAAATGAAGTATGATCACTTGCTTTGATACCAAAACAATGACAAATATGAGAAACGTTACTGGTATGATTTGAACCCAGCAGTGAGGTCACATTTTCCTCCACTTACCAGAGCCAGGCCACCTATAAGCCCCCCTTCCCCTAGCTGGTGTCATGTCCACTCTGTCCGGCACCCAAGGCTCTTTCCCCATCTCCAGTTGGGCAACTACGTGAGAGCTGAAAGACGTAAGTCCTAAGGAAAAGAAAAGTGAGTAGCTCACATTTTTTTAGGTGGACTACCCTACAACAGCTCATAGGAAAGAAACTACAAGGGAGGTCTTACAGAAATAGCCCAGTAATACCAGCAAGTAGCGACCATGGAGTGCCTGGCACAGACGGGCCCTAGGAAATCCAAGCTATAGCAAAGGGGCAGAACCTGAATCATGGAATTGTCACAAATCTGGACAATCACCTAAGCAAGGAGCCAGATAGGATCCATTGAGCAGAGAGTTCCCTCATTATTTCAGGACCTTTCTGCAAGGCTTCAAGGCAGCAGGTGTTGGAGGCACTCCAAGAAAAGATGGGGCACTGTACACTGCTCAGCCCCAGAACCCACAGCACATTTGCAGTCAAGCCTGTGAAAGCCAGATCTATGTAAGGTAGAACCCTGTCAGGATGGGGAAGCTCAAATGTTTTCCATTAAATCAAGCGATAGAAAAAAATGGTAAGAAATCTTGCAAGACCTGGAAAAACAAGGCAGTCCCATCAAGTTCCAGTTCTCACAGATTCCACTGTATCAGGGAAATGGGGAAAGAAGCAAAGGCTACGGTCCAGCTGTGGGAAGGAAAGGTAGAGCTGTCTCTTGGGAAAGGGGAAGAGGCCCCAGAGACCTACCTGCTCAGGACAGGTAGATGTCAAGGTCTTACCCAGTGAGGCTATAAGTGCAAAGTTCTCCAGCATCACATGGCAATAGAAGAGTCTCTGAGCTTCATCAAGGAGATGCCACTCTTCCTGGGAAAAGTAAATGGCCATGTCCTCAAAGGCCACACATCCCTGCACAATGGAGATGGTTAGTTCCATGATATGCTTCTCTCCTCGGGAATCCCCGTCCATTTTCCTATTTCTAGTCTCTGCTTACCCATCTCCCTAGCTCTCCACCTCAAGAGAAGGTACTTTGCTCTTTCCTCATGTCTTCCTTATCTGTCTATCAGCCCACAGCAACAAGAGAGGTAGGTGGGCAGATAGATACCATCTAAGCTCTGCGCCTGGTCTGCAGGGCCCAGCCCACTTATCTGTGAGCTCCTTCTCCTAGTGTAGTCGATGGCATGCTACCCTGATACAGACAGCCCCTATTAGGAGGCCCTAGAACCGACAGTTCACATTCTCTCCTTTCTGACAACTCTAGACTCCACTGCTGCCTCTCCACTGACTCTGGTCTCTCCTCACTCAGTCCTTATCATAGCCCTCTCCCTGGATGCCTTACATTTCTCTCTGCACATAATAGCCAGAGAGTACTTGACCAATGCCACGAGCCCATCCTACCCCACACCTTCTACGGCTCCCACTGCCAAAAATATCACCAAGCCCTGCTTCAAAGGCCTTCCTACCTCCAGGATAAATCAGTCCCACTCATTCAACAGCCAACTTCTCCGATTCCTGCTTTTCCCACCTACACAGAATCTAGTTCTCCTATTTGTCCCTGAGTTAATTTCCTGGCTGGGACACCTCATGTCCTATTAAGGATCACTACAAAAACCTAGTGAGACTGCAGATGGCTGAATAAGCACCAGTCAAGGTCTCCACTGTTACTTAGTAACAAGCCTTAACATCCATCTCATACCCACTCCCTTTGGAAAAGTAGATCACCTGCCATCTCCCTAACTTTCCACTTACAGACACCCCCCCACACACACACACACACACTCTGCCCCACCACTTCATCCACACATATTCTCTCTCATCTATCTTGTTAATGCGAACAGTCAACCATGGTACCCAAGGAAGATGATCAACGTCTCCATTTTCAGGCTCCTCCTCCTTTCTCCAGAATAGTATTGCCCCCGTGACTTGAAGACTCATCTTCCTCCATCTGACCACAGCTGCACTATTGTCCACACCCCACCTGAGTTAGTTAATTGTGCCAGCCTGGCTGATAATCACATGTGGGGCTA